TTTAAATGAGCAAGCCATAGAATCGAGCACTAACCTCAGGCCAAGGAGATAATTTCCCGGGGCAGGGGGCCGGGGGGGGGGGGGACCACGACCATCTCTCAGCCCTGGAAACCACGCCCCCTTCTGTTGTGGGACTCTGTGGCCCAGCACAACAAAGGACATGAAGCCACCAAGCATTCCTTGAGATCCAAGCTGGCAGCCTGCAGAGAGCCTGTGCAGAGCCCTGAGGAGCCAGCAGGGGCAGTTGGTGCCAGGAAACACCCCACAGGATACTGCCTGGCCCTTCAGGAGTTGGCCAGCAAAGGGGCAGAGCAGACCCTGAAGAATCAGTACAAGAAGAGGAACCAAAAACTTCTTGAAGGAGCAGGGGTGGTTCAGAGGGGTCTGAACCTGTCTCAAATTCACTGAGACTCCTGAACCAGCCTCTAGAAGTCCTGGGATTGATGGTGAAAAACACAGAGGCACGGGTCATGAAGGGGCTCTACCTGCAGCACATTGGAATCTCCCATAGGGTTTTCTAGAAATCCTGATACTAGGTCTGGAGATTGGAGAGATGGCTATTCTTCCAGAGGACCTAGGTTCAATTCCTAGCACCCACATGGCAACTCACAACTGTCTGTAACTCCAGCTCCAGAGGATCTGACACCTTCACACCAATGCACAGAAAATAAACTTAAAAGAAAAGAAAAGAGAAATCCTGATGCCTCCATCCTGATCCAGTTCTGATAGGAAGAATTTGGAATGAGCCTGGGCACTAGGATTTACAGTGTACACAGGAAATTTGTGTGCAGCCAGTCTCTTGACCAACTCACATGACAATAGATGAAATGCCAGGCCCTAGCCCCAGCCCGGCCTCCCCTTGACCTTCTCTCCACATCTAGGCCTGCCTACTGGGAGTCTCCCTTCCCATGCCTCCCTCTCCTTCTGCCAACAGAGGGTGTAGTTGGCAGTCCCCCAATTTTGTTATTCTGCACTGACCATACCCCTTGTCATTGTCACGCCTTCTGCCCAGAATGGGTTTGTACCTTTCCCTGCCCTGGCGCAGAAGACAATGACATCAGCGCCTCTCTCACTTCCTTCTCTGGGAGCCACTGACATGGCTGGACCTCTGAGGTCCTGAGAAAGTTGGAGAAGGTGAGAAAATCTCCCCACCCTTTCCCATTTAGGGCCTCTGGGCCACTGTTCCCCCGCCACATACTGTCCCTGCTCACGGATGAGAAGCACCTGTGACACACGCAGTTGACAGAGTATTTGTCCAGCATGCACAGAGCCCTGGGCTACCTTCCTGGCGAGGTATACCACGGGATGTGGTGGAACTGGCCTACAATTGGCACTGTCATCCCAGCAGGAGGTTCAGAAGTTCAAGGTCATCCTCAACTGCGTAGCAAGTTCAAAGCCAGTCTGGGATCAGGAGACCCTGTCTAAAATCAAATAAGTAGGTGGCAGTTGCTTGATTCGCTTGGATCTCAGTTTAGAGGTCTGGGCCTAAGGCAGTGTTGGGAATTACCTACACATAAGTGATGTCTAAGACCAGACACCTGGGTAAAAGCAAGTGTCATGCAGGGGAAATCTGACCCTTCAATGGACCCCCAAACTCCACTTCCTGTCTGCCAATCTGCTCCCGTAGGCCAGAACAGCAGTGTCTACACTTTGAGACTTGAGGTCTCCGATCAGGTCCTCAGTACAGGTGTTGTGAGGTGACACTAACAGTCTGTTCTTCTTTCTTCCTCTGTCCTCCCCTCGTTGTGCCCTTTTACCTCACCACCACCTCTAAACTCCCTCCCCTTTTCTCTTGACTCTGTCTCCTGCCCTTCCCTTTCCCCTTCTGAAATCCCTGTGTGCCTTCTGCCCCAAGGTGAAAGTCTGGTTCCAGAATCGCCGGACCAAGCAGAAGAAGGACCAGAGCAGAGACCTGGAGAAGCGAGCATCCTCTTCCTCCTCCGAGGCCTTTGCCACCTCCAGCGTTCTGCGGCTGCTGGAACAGGGCCGGCTGCTCTCCGTGCCCAGGGCCCCTAGCCTCCTGGCACTGACCCCTGGCCTCCCAGGCCTTCCTGCCAGCCACAGGGGCACCTCCTTGGGTGATCCCAGGAACTCCTCTCCAAGCCTCAACCCAATGCCCTTGGCGTCAGCATCGTCCCCTCTGCCGGCCATCTGCTTTTCCGCAGCTCCGCTCCTGGACTCGCCAGCCAGCTACAAACTGGGGTCCTCAGCATTTGAGCCCTACATCAGGCTCGAGCAACAGAAAGTAGGCAGTTCTGGCCAAAGTGACAAGAAAGCCGACACTTAAAGAGTCCCATCCCTGCGTAACACCGAGTCCCCAGCACAGCACTGCCCCAGCCTCCTGGCCCCTGTGAACTGTACTGAGCAGGCCTGGAAGAGGAGATGTGGGCACAGCATGCGCCTCTGCACCTGTCCTCTGCCCTCAGCTCAGAGACTGAACCAAATGACTTTGGTCCCAATGTACTCTCTGATGTGTGAGTGTCATGGGTGTGTGCGTGCGTGCTTGCGTGTGTGTCTCACAGAAATAAAGAAGGGAACTGGTCCCAGAAGCACCAACTCACTCCCTTTTGTCCTTGTCCTCAATGTGTAGCAAATCAGGAGCCTCAAATCAGGGCTGGTGTCCACAGACACCATTAACACAGCTTCCATCTGGGCTCCACAGCCCTACAATATCTGTGCTTCCTCCGGTTAAGTGTTCTCCTATGTAAGCTTTTCTTTCAAACTTCAAACTACTTGTTGGGGTGAGCAGTCCTTCAACGGGGTGAATAGGGCAAGCTGAGAGGATTTCTGGGAGGGCATCAAAGGTACGCGGAGCAAGGCTGGCCTGCAGGGAGCCCCTGTGCATGAAGCACGCAGAAAAATCCCACCTTGCTCATATTGCTTTCATTTAGCTTTTATTTGTAACAATTACAGAGTCTCAGAAAGCCGTTCACTGCACCACTGGCTTTTCTAGTCCCTGTGGCGAAGCACATAGCAGAAGCAAGGGGAGGGAGGAGAGGGCTGGTTCTGCGCATGGCTTGAGGAGCAGTCCATCTTGGCGGGAAGGCAGAGCCACAGAAGTGGGGCAGCTGGTCACACACACATCCTCAGTCAGGAAGCTGGGATGAGTGCTCATGCTTTGTTCTCATCCTCGCTTGTCTTCAGTCTGGTCAGCCGTTTCTTAGTGTCCCATGTTTCTCTATAATGGCCCTAACCTCTCCAACAGCCCAGTGCTTCCATCCCTGCTCTGACTGTAATGCTAAACGCCTTCTCTTTGGCGGACTGTACACTTTCCGTGCCTTTGCTCGGCATGCACGCTGCTCTCTCTCACTGCCTAAGATCGGGGAGCAGGAACCATGCCACAGCCTGAACGCTGTCCTGAGGTTCTCATTACTTCTCTGTTGCTGTGATAAGACACCACAACTAAGGAATTTATAGAAGAGCTTATTTGAGGCTCACAGTTGCAAAGTTAGAGTCGTGACTGTCATGGCGGGTGCTGCAGCAGCAGTTGAAAGCCCACACACAGACCCACAAACAGGAAGAAGCAGAGGGCAAGCCCTGGGAATGGTGGGAGTCTTTAGAAACCTCAAAGGCCAGCCCCAGTGACACACCTACTACCAGGCCACACCTCCTAACCCCCCCCAAACAGTTCTACCAAGTAAAGACCAAACATGTAAGGCTACAGGAGTCAATTTTATTCAAACCACCACACCTGCTGTGAGGGTCCCTCTGCCGAACAGATCAGACCAGTACCTGTAAATTCAGTCTCACCCAAATTCTCAGGATGCAGGCAGAATAAATTCAGCTTCTTTTCTAGAACATATGAATCACTTCTAGCCCATTTTGTCATTAAGCCCTTGTTCTCCTCTGAAACTTCACGCTCTGGGCTTCAACTGTCCATATCTCTCAGCATCCTAGGCTTCCACCAGAATGGCCAGTTTCCTTCTTCTTACACCATGCTAGGGCTTCTCCAGGCTGCAGCTGAAAAACTCTTCCCATTCCTCTCACAAACCGGTCTCAGAGGCCGATGACCCACATGGCCAGGTTGTAGTAACAACTCCACTCCTGGTGCCAATTTTCTATATGCGTTGCCTTTTCATGGTTATGACAAAGTCCCTGCCAAAGGATGAGTTTGTTTTGGTTCGTGATTTGAGATTACACTGTGGTGGGAAAGGCATGGTGGCGGCAGGAGTTGGGAGGACTCTGCTTATCTCCTAGATGATTCCAAGTGCTGTCGAGCTGGAGGCCAAAGTTAACCATCACAGCTAGCTACCCGCAATGGCAGCCTTTTCCCATCTAGCGTATGTCACAGAGCAAACGAACACTGGGACCACAGACGAAAGCTCATGTCATTTCCCCTGCTGTGTAGACCCACGGAAGCATCAACCAGGACCTGCTCCTCTGGAGCCACACCCAGCCCCCACCAGAAGAGTTCTTTGTCAGAATGGTAAAATGGCGTGTGAGAGAGGACCAGTGCTGGAGGGGGCGGCGAGCATGGCCGACAGCTCAGACTGATCTAGGGAATATGGTGGCTTCCTGCAGGAGGTGGCCTGGAACTGACCAGGAGATGAACTTTAAAGGGACCCGGTATGGCTCAGCACAAAGGGTGCAGGTTGTGGTGACAGTGAGAAGACAAGACTAGGGCATGAGGAGACCAAGGAGTCAAATGGTGAGGGACAAGGACTTTGTTGAAAGAAGGCAAAGCTGAAGCCACACTCACTGTGGGAGCTGTGCCGAGGGACATCTGGGCACAGAAGGTAGAAAGAATGCTTGCCCCTTGCTCTGTCCTTCTTTGCTTTTGGTACCCAGGGGGCAGCCACTACAGGATCTGCTCAGCCTGGGCATGAGAAACCTTCAGAGTTGGTGCGTGCCAACTTCCCTGTTTACAGTCAACCTGGCAGAGGAGGGGTGTGGGGTGGGGGGCAGGGACAGAAGGAAGGGGAGGGGTGGCCGCTGGCACCGGCTGAGCAGCCTGCTCCAGCTCCAGCAGGAACTGAAGTCTTAGGGTTGCCACCAGCCTGCTCGAGCACTCCCTCCCAGCTCTCCACACGCCATGGCCACGAAAGTAGACATCAGGCCTGGGGAACTCACCAGCAATAGCTGTGACCCAGTCACAGCTCGAGAGCATACACAGGCTGTGACCCGAAACTACATCACCCACCCCCGTGTCAGTGAGTATGCATGTCCAGCTGGCAAGAGGAGCCAGCTGCTGGGACCGTGTTTTCACCTCTGAAAAGGAGGACCGAGTAGAGAGGTCAGGGGACTCTAGGTCCAGCTGTGCAGTGGCAGCCGCTGTGCATGGGTCACCTCTGCAGGTGGAGGGATGGAGGCTCCCATTCAGGCTGAGGAGAGGGCCAAGTAGCAACTGTTATCATCAGGACCCCATCTAAAACCCAGGGTCCAAAGAGAGCTTGAGAGAGACAGAGAAAGCAGAGAGAGATAGAGAGAGGGTAGGAGGGAGGGAGGGAGGGAGGGAGGGAGGGAGGGAGGGAGGGAGGGAGGGAGGGAATGAGAACACATGTGGGCATGTATGAGTGGGCAAACGGATCTGCAGTGATGTGTGTAACAGAGTAGTCAGCACTTGACTTGAGGAATTCAGTAGCCAGTGAGTTGTGCCTGCATCATCTCCTAGGGGAGAGAATCTGTACATAGAAGCATTACTAGCACGGCATTCTCCACGGGGGGATGGGGAGGGCAAAATGTACAACTGTGTGTGTGTGCTTGTGCACACAGGGTGGAGGTGTGTGTGCCCGCATGCGTGTGCACACGCATGTTTGGATATAATGTACATGTGTGTTCAATGGGAGAGAGAACATATGTGAACTTATGCTTACATGATATATGAGAACACATGTAACTGTGGCAATGTGTGGATACTGTTGGGGTAAGAGCATGTACTTGTTCATACATGTGTGCCTTCCTCATTTTGTGAGCAGGCAGCTCTGGGCCTGATCTGTAAGGGTGGCCCAAGTCAATGCCAGGGACAAAAAACAGCAAGGACCACAGGGCCAAAGCCACCTCCCACCATGTTCTTGTCCAAGGTCACTCTCTCTGGTAAAGTCTCAGGCAGCCCAGCTCGCTGGAGTAAACCAGCCTGAGTGGCCCCAGCTGAGCAGAGCCTCAGGCTCCTCCTAACAGGGTGTGCTGGGTGACAGGAAGGAGCTAGACACAGTCACCCATTCTTCCTGCTGACTCCAAAGCTCCCCAGGCCCACAGAGAAGGTGTGGCTATATACAGGGCATTGGACAGCTGAGCTCAGAGCGAGCAGAGTCTGTTCAGCCTTCAGGGGACAGAGCCCTGGATCTGGGACCAGCTGAGGCTGAGACAGACACAGTGTGCCACAGCTACTGAGAAAGGTGAAAGGGGCAGGCCAGGTCTCTCAAGGAGCCCTGAAGGCCCTGCCTCATGGACATAGAGTCTAGAGACATTCCCCCAGACAAAAGCTTGGGTCACCAGGACCCAGAAATCAGTGGAGAGAGGAGCCCCATTATGCCTAGAGTTTGGGCCATGTGATACCCTGCTCCTGCAGGCCCAACCCCCTGTGGGCAAAGGAGAGCTGCCAGGTTGGGTGGAGCAGGAGCCTGGACCTCCAGGCTCAGCTTTCCTTCTGGAATGTGGCCTTGCAGGGATCTACAAGGATCTCCTGGCTCAACCTTTGTGCAGCCTCCCCTCACCCCCTTTTTTCTTCAGGTGGGAAGGCTTAAGATAGAGCGGCTCTCACCAGTTTCCTCCTGACTTATTTATTGTCAACACCCTGCAGGTCCTGACACCCACCCCCCACCCAAGACATTATGATCACATCCACAGTGACAGTGTGTCCTCTGGGTTCTGCCAAGGTACCCTCACCTTGCCACGGGCTGAGAGTCCTCCCTCAGGGTAGGGCTGGCCTAGGGGCTGGCTAGCCCTCCAGGATACCCTCCTAGTCTGGCTCAGTCTAGTTCCTCATATTCCTCCATCCATCTTGGGTACCTGGATGGAGTTCTTCCTGGGAGACCAGGCCAAGAGTAGGAATGGAAAGAGTCCAGAGGCCCCTCCCCTGTACTGTTGCCCTCCTCCCATCCTCCCCCCCCCAGGCAGGCTGTCCCCTCTCTGCCCTCCTCCTCCAGTTAGGCCCCTCTACTCTGAAACTCCAAGCATTGGGACTGGACATGAGTGCTGGCAATAATGACCTTTGAAGCAGGGTCCTCCTTCAGCAGAGCAACCTGCCCTCCCCCAGGGCCTTGGCCTGTTGTAGAGGTAGTGCAGCAACGTGGGATCACTGGGGAGCATTACATGTGGGGGTGTGGACAGCTTGTGCAAAAGGACACGTGACAGCCTGGTTGGAGGGATGGAGTCAGGTCATGTCATTCATCCAGGGTTTGAGAGTCTCAGTGGAGTCCGAACTAGTCGGTTCTGATTCCAAGACCACCATCTTCCAGCGGTGACCCCCTCCCCTAGATCCCCCAGCTGGGATGGGGGTGGATGAGCAAGACCCTCTGCCCTAGGCTTGCCCCTACCCTGGCCTCCAGCCTGCTGAGGGAGGGGACAGGACACTGCAGGTGTGGCGGGTCCAGCACTAATTAGGACCTTAGGACCTCATAGGGGCCCTGCTGAGCCTTTGAGGGAAGGCTGTGGGGAGGTGGGGGTAGGGAGCTCTCTTCCACACTGCAACTCCCAAGACAACTTCAGTGTCAGAGACAATGGGAGGGGGTGGGCCAGGGGAGAGGTCCGCTGAAGTCTGGGGAAAGCCCATTCAGGGAATGCCCTGAGGTCAGCGGAGCGAGGGCTCCTGGCAGCTCATCACCCTGTGTCTTTCTTCAGGGTCAAGTGGTACATCCCTGGGTGGGCAGCGACTTAATCCCTGAGTGCTCCAGCACCAGCTGAAGCTCTCCATGTAAGGGCACAGTCAGGGTGCCCACCAGTCAGGGTGCCCACCAGTCAGGGTGCCCACCAGTCAGGGCTGTCTTTGTTCCTCAGTTTCCCTTTGCCCGAGTCCTAACTGGACAATTCACAGATGGGTGTGCTGGCACACCTATGATCCCAACACTTAGAAGGATGATGCAGGAGGACTGCCATGAGTTTGGGGTCAGCCTGATATATAAGTGTGAAAGTCCCAAGGAAGCCTAGACCGTAGATTGAAACCTTGTCACACACACACACACACACACACACACACACACACACACACACACACACATCCAGTAAAATCAGATGGTTCTGAGAAAAGATCTAGTCTTGTGTTGGGGTCTACACTCCCTTGGGGTGCCAGTCTGTGGTCCTGGGGGTTTCCAGGGGAGAAGCACTGCAGGAGGCAGGCAGGGGCAAGGCCTGAAGACCTTGTAATCTGTGTTTTCTACAGTGAGACCCACAATGCAGAGAGGAGAGCTGTGCCTTCCTCCAGCGGCTCTGCCACTCCCGCCTCCAGCTAGGAGTGGATCCTGCAGTCTGGAAAGAAGGCTGTGGTGCTGAGTGGAGACTCAGAGACCTCATGGTAGTCGCCAGGTGATCTGGCCTGAGGGAAGCTAAGATCTTCCAACCTGACTCCCAGAGGGTGGGGTAGGCCACTCAGCATTGTCCAGTCCCCTTCACATCAGGCAGGGTACCCCCAGCATCGCACCCTCCATCCCTTCCTCCTTCACTCAGGCAGGGTGCTCAGGCTATAATTCCCTACCCTCCATCTCCAGGTGGAATTGCTGGACCTCAAGCCTAACAGATTTCACAGGACAAAAAGCTATCAAAGAAGAAAGCAGAATGTGCTATCTCCCAAGGTTGTGAAACCAAGAGTGATCCCTTTGGGCTTTGTGGCTCTCATCTCTCCTGAGACAAGCCACTTGCTCTGACCCCACCCTGTAGACCCTTGACCCTGACTCACTGCTGATTTCCCCCCAGCTCTATGGATCTAGCAAAATGCCAGTTCTTCCCAGACTTGGAAACACTCACCTGCCAGTCCAAAAGTTTCCCCACCCTGGTGGAGTGCTGGTCCTGGCTCTGCCTCTGCTGGTCTCACCAGCTCCACTCCATACTACCCTCAGAGTGTCTGTCGTGCCCACCCCACCACCAACCCCTGCCCTCAATACTGCATACATTCTCACCTTTTCCTCTGTGGTCCTCAGCAGGCAGGAGCTGGGGGTGTGGCCCTTGCGCTGGTCATCAGGACTCCCGTTTGGTTTAGGGATAAGGGGATACCTGTTGATTCTGATGTAGGACATTTGGAAATAATGAACTGATAGAACCACTTAGTGCTTTCCTGAGTGCAGAGTGAGACAGAGACCATCCATCCCTGACAGCTCTCCCTGCACTGGAAGCCAACCTAGAGGAGTCCTGAGTCACCTCCCTCTTCTCTGTCCCCCAAGGCACTGAGCAGTTAGCAGCCAGGGGTTCTTTCAGCTCTGCAGTGGGAACTTTCCTCAACTCCCTGGGGCTGGCTGGAAGGCTCCCCTTAACCTGAGGGTTCCCCTGACTTGAAAATGCTTCTTCCCTGGGCATCTACTCTGGTCCCCGGGGCCACTCCACCTTTCATCTCTTCTGCCTACTGGGCTCTGCACCTACCTCACCTGACCATCTTGCCCCCGTGTGGCCCATCCATCCTACCCTTCGTCTCTAGAGTTTCAGTAAGGCCATGCTCATTCTGCCCTTCTTTTGGATATTAGGCTCTACACTTGGGCTGTCATTTGTTTGCCTTGCCTAGGGGCAGCTGGATGGCATTCAACACTAGAATTTAAAGAAAGGAAGGGAGAAGGAAAGACTCCTGGGGGGGGGGGAGACGGAGTGGGGAAGAACAGAGCCTGGGCTGATCTGTAAGAAGCCCTTCAATGGGGGACACTGGGTTTCTTCCAAGGATTCAGGATGCGGAGGAAGAGGGGGAGGACAGGAGCCAAGGGAATGTACCTCATGATGTAGAAGTCGTCTTAGGGGGTTAGGGGTGGGGGGAGACTGAGGGGGAGCCATTGCACACGGGTGGTAGGGTGGCCTGAGGGACAAATGCAGGGTGCTGAGCTAGCCCTTCACCCCACGAGGGGCTTCTCCTGGATCCTGCCTCGGATAAAGGTGGACCTCCTTCAGGAGCGGAGGGAAGAAAGGTGATAGGAGGCAGTAGGTAGCTCTGGCAGGGGATGGTACATCCTACTGTGGCAATTCTGGGCGCAGCCTGGAGTTTACAGACAGTCCTTACACTAGGAGGGTCCTTGCCGAGACCAGCAAAACGGCCTTGTACGTTCGATCTTTCTGCGCATGTGCTGGGAAACAGCTCAAATGACTGGCCAGGCGTGAACAGGGACACTGGCTCCCTTTGGGGCCAGGCCTGCTGTGGGACGGTGTGGGCTGATGTGGGGCTCAGGGCAGCCCCTTCCCAAGATGTGCCACAGGCATGCCAGTGACTCTGAGCCAGGCTTTTCAGTCCCGGGCCCATTGTGCCCACCTCCCCTGAGCTCTGTGGCTTGTGAGTGACCCAATTTCTTCCCAGCACCCAACTCATCTGGTCTGGCCAAATTACTGTCTCCACTGTATCACTGGTGCCCCATAGACTCCCTGGGAGAGACTAGCTATGGTACTCCTCCTCTGCCCCGGTCCAGGAACCACACCCTCTTCAGAGTCCCTGAGCTAACCCCAGCAGGGCCAGAGGTAGGCTTCCTAGCTGATAGTCCTTGGATCTCATCCTGTGAGCTCAGCTCTCTTCTGAGAGAGAGAGAGAGAGAGAGAGAGAGAGAGAGAGAGAGAGAGAGAGAGAGAGAGAAAGAAGAAGAAGAAGAAGAAGAAGAAGAAGAGAAGAGAGATTCTTCCTGGTTTTCTGCTATCTTCACAACAGGATGCCCAGTGATGGGACCTGGTGGCCAGGCTTGGTGGAGGAAGCAGATGGCTACAGCACCCTCACCTCACAGGGCTCATCAGTGCAGGGTGGAGGGAGGGCAGTGGGGTCTGGGAAGGGCCCAGGAGGCCACAGCTGTGCCCAGAGGCTTTTGGAAAATTCAAGTGGAGATGGGAAGAGGGAGTAGGTGAGGTGGGGGTTGAGGCCAGAGGGGAGCACAGGGGGTGGAGAGCTCAGGGGGCCTGGGCAAGACTCCGAGGAGGCCTCTGCCCTTAAGCCCTCCTCCAGCATCCTGCAGGTGTTGAGACAGTGGGGGGTCTGTGGCAGGGGCTTGACCCTTACAGCAATGGTGGCTGGCGCTGTCACAGCTAATGACCCTGATGGCCCAGCCTGAGGAGGAGGAGGTGGGGTGCACAGAGGCAAGGGACAGGATGCTTCTCTCTCTCTCTCTCTCTCTCTCTCTCTCTCTCTCTCTCTCTCTCTCTCTCTCTCTCTTTCTCTCTGTGTGTGTGTGCGCGCGTGCGCGCACGCGTGGGTCTCAGTGACTGTGTCTGTGTGTTTCAGTGAACGCACATACATTTTCCTTGTGTTAGAACATAGTGGAACTTAGAGATGAGAACCTCACCCACTCTTCCCCTCCCCCAGCCTACAGGACAGTGTGCAGTGTCAATGGGCCTCTCGTGGTGCTGGACCAGGTCAAGGTAAGATTCTTAAATCTCCTTCCTAGCCCCTAGGCCATATCCAGGGTTTCTTTTAAGCTTCCCACCCAGGGGTCTTGTTTTATTCTTTCTAACTCTGTCGCCCCTCAAGTCTCCTGCAAAGTTTCTTCTTCACACTTTGTCTGTGGGAGGCTACACCACTATTCAAGGCCAGGCTGGGGTGAGTGCTGACCCTGAAAATTCTGTTCCACCCAGACTGGCCAGTCTCCCCCTTTTCCTTTTTCTCTCCCCCGCCCCCTCCGCCCCACTCACTAGAGATCAAACCCAGGGTCTAATGCACGCCAGGCAAGCATCCTATCTGAGCTACATTTCTTTCCCTGCCTGATTTTGTTTAGCGGGCTTATTGCCTTGTTTCTTTTAGGCCCGAGTTAACATTCGGTGGCCTGAATTTTCTTCTTCATGCCGCCAGCCCTTACTCTCCAGCGAAAGGACAAACACTGAGGACATCGGTAGTTTCAGAGCAGAGGAGGAAGGAGCGGGACTTTGCTGTAGAACGCTTTACCGGGGTGTCCTTCTGTCTCGCTGCTCTTGCGCGCTCTCTTGTGGTAGAGACGCCAAACAACTGGACTTCCGCACCTCGTATCACTTCGGATTCGGGTTGGGGAGGGCCTCTCCTAGAACCACCCCACCCCGCAGGGGCAAGAAAGCGCTCTGATGAGGAGACACCTTCGTGTCATCTTTGCACCAGTACAAACGACACCATCAGTGGCAGTCATCATTGCAAATCTGAGCAGGGAAGCCCTGGGCGAGGGGCCCGCCCTAGTCACTAGTCCATCCGCCACTTTCCCCTGACCCATAAGGTCAGTAGTGTGTGGCCATCAGGGAACAAAATGACAGCCGCAGACAATGATAACTTGTGGCACTATAACATGTCACCAAATGTTATTACATTTTAATAAAAAAAAAAAAATACATGCTCTTGTATCCCGAGAAACAAAGACAGTTAACCATCTGTCCCTTTGTCTCCAGTCCCGTGGGACAGCTGTGAGACCTGCAGGCTATGCTCATAGTCAGGTGAACAGCGCATGTGCGGAGAGATGCATGTACTCCTGCTGAATGGTTACCTAGCAGGTTGTGTTTCTGGGTTTACTGATATTTGTGGTGCTTAATCTTCAGTGCCAACTGTACAGGATTTAGAATCATATAGGAGACCGACCACTGAGTGTGTCCATGAGGGCATTTCCAGGCAGGTGTAATTGAGAACCGAAGACTTGCCCAAATTGTGAATGGCACCATCCCATAAGGGGATCCCAGGCTGAATAAAAAGGGAAAGGGGTCGGGCGGTGGCGGTGCACACCTTTAATCCCAGCACTCGGGAGGCAGAGGCAGGCAGATCTCTGTGAGTTCGAGGCCAGCCTGGTCTACCAGAGCTAGTTTAGTTTCAGGACAGTCTCCAAAGCTACAGAAAAACCCTGTCTCAAAACAAAACAAAACAAAACAAAACAAACAAAAACAAACAAACAAAAACGGGAAATGGGAAATGAAAGCCGAGCACCAGGGTTCATCCTTCCTTGTGACCTCACGTTCTGCCCAAGCCTTTTCCTACGTGGTAGACTGCATCCTCTCAGACCAAGAGCCAAAACAAAGCCTTCTTTAAGTTCCTTTTGTCACAGCAAAGAGGAAAAAAGACTAATATGGATTTATTCCACAATCCCATTCTGGTTATGGGTTCCACTGTTAGAAAAAGCTCACGAATACACATCCTTTTATATTGATTCATTGAGGTAGGGCGGTGGTGGTGCACGCCTTTAATCCCAGCACTCGGGAGGCAGAGGCAGGCGGATCTCTGTGAGTTCAAGGCCAGCCTGGTCTACAAGAGCTAGTTTCTAGGACAGGCTCCAAAACCACAGAGAAACCCTGTCTCGAAAAAAAAAAATAAAATAAAATATATTGATTCATTGATGAGAGCAACAAAGATAGAATTGTATGCTCAAAAGGTGGCTGCATTTTTTTAAATTATAGACTGATTGGCCTGTTAGCTCAGGCTTCTTATTAACTCTTATAACTTATATTAGCCCATAATTCTTGTCTGTGTTAGCCACGTGGCTTGGTACCTTTTTCGGTGAGGCAGTCACATCTTGCTTGCTCTGTGTCTGGCTTCCTCTCTGGTAGCTGCATTTAAGGTAGATATTGCCAAAAGGGGTGTCTCAGGCGCAGAGTGAGTGCTTAGGGGGCACACAGGGATTCTGTCCTCAGCACTACCAGTAAACAAACACACAGATCCTGGATCAGGACAAGAGTGATGCTCTGATAGGTAAGTGATTGGACCACCATCCCACATCCCTGGAGAGCCTGGGTGTGTGCTCATCTGTGACCGAGCCCTCTCCCGGCACCCCTTCTTTTCCTCTTCTTTTCTGGGTATTTTGTTTGTTTTTTGAGACAAGATCTCTTTTTTTCTTTTTTTAATTAATTTTATTGAGCTATACATTTTTCTCCGATCCCTTCCCTACCTCTCCCCCTCCCCTTCAACCCTCTCTCATGGTCCCCTTGCTCCAAATTTGCTCAGGAGATCTTGTCTTTTTCTACTACCCATGAGATTAGATCTATGTATGTCTCTCTTAGGGTCCTCATTGTTGTCTAGATTCTCTGGGATTATGAATTGTAGGCTGGTTTTCTTTGCTTTATGTCTAAAAGCCACTTATGAGTGAGTACATATGATGTTTGTCTTTCCGGGTCTGGGTTACCTCACTCAATATGGTGTTTTCTAGTTCCATCCATTTGCCTGCAAATTTCAAGATGTCGTGATTTTTTTTTTTTTTTTTTTTTGCTGTGTAGTACTCCATTGTGTAAATGTGCCCCATTTTCCTCATCCATTCTTCAGTTGAGGGCCATTTAGGTTGTTTCCAGGTTCTGGCCATGACAAACAATGCTGCTATGAACACAGTTGAGCACATGTCCTTGTGGCATGATTGAGCATCCTTTGGATATATACCCAAAAGTGGTATTGCTGGGCCTTGAGGAAGGTTGTTTCCTAATTTTTTGATAAATCACCACACTGACATCCAAAGGGGCTGTACCAGCTTGCACTCCCACCAGCAATGCAGTGTTCCCTTTGTCCCACAACCTCTCCAGCATAAGTTGTCATTAGAGTTTTTGATCTTGGCCATTCTTACAGGTGTAAGAAGGAATCTCAGAGTTGTTTTGATTTGCATTTTTCTGATAACTAAGAATGTTGAGCATTTCCTTAAGAGTATTACTGCCATTTTAGATTCCTCTGTTAAAAGTTCTCTGTTTAGGTCTTTACTCCATTTTTTTTATTGGATTATGAGACAGGATCTCTTGTAGTCCAGGCTGGCCACAATCACTATGTCTGAAGGCTAACCTTGAACTCTGGGGTACCTTGTGCCTTCGCTTAAGGGCTGATTCTCTCTGGCTCCATAGTCCTTATTTTTAAACAGTGGTTTTGTTGGGTTTTGATTGTTACCACAGGGTTTTAACACCCTTTCCTTTCCTTTCCTTTCCTTTCCTTTCCTTTCCTTTCCTTTCCTTTCCTTTCCTTTCCTTTCCTTTCCTTTCCTTTCCTTTCTTCTTTCCTTCTCTGTTCTGGAACTCACTCTTGTAGACCAGGCTGGCCTCAAACTCAACAGAGATCTGCCTGCCTCTGCCTCTCTAGTGCTGGAATCAAAGGTGTGTGCCACCACTGTCCAGCTTTTATTTTCATTTGTGTGTTTGTATGTGTGTATACATGTCTGCCGTGTGTGTTCATTTGTGTGTATGTGCATGTCTACCGTGTGTGTTCATTTGTGTGTATGTATGTTTGTATGTGTGTGCATGTCTGCCGTGTGTGTTCATTTGTGTGTATGTGTGTGTACATGTCTGCCGTGTGCGTTCATTTGTGTGTATGTATGTGTGTGTACATGTCTGCCGTGTGTGTTCATTTGTGTGTATGTATGTATGTGTACATGTCTGCCGTCTGTGTTCAGGTACCATCAGGGGCCAGCTGGAGTTAGAGGATATTGTGAACTTTTTACCACTGAGCCATCTTTAGACTTCCACAGATAATTTTTTAATTTTCTCCTCCAACTTCTGGAATACTGATTTTTTAACCTTTTAATCGATTAATAAAATGGACTTCACTGGTAGGCTCCCTGATAGAGTAATCTTGTATTCCTGAAATCTGAAATGCTGGGTGTTTATCTTCATTTAAATTTGCTTTCCGGTTTGCTTGTTTTGGTTGTTTTCCCCTTAGGTTTGGCTTTGTGATTTGGTCTTTTTTAGTGAATGTTCAATTAGGCGATCTCTGTCCATGAGCAGGCAGCCTACAATTTGCCCATAAGAGTTTTATTTTGGTGTCAAGATCACACTTGCCTCATAAAATGAATTAAACCCAGTACCTTTTCCCCCAGGCTTTTGAAGAGCTTAAGCAAATTTCAAATTATCTGTTCTTGCTTGTTAGAACTTCCTGGCACAATTCTCTGTGACTGATGCTTTAAACTATTTAATAGCTTTAAAATTCAGATTCTTACTCAAGTTTAAAAGGAATAAAAATAGTATGTGTGAAAGGATTTTATATGGTTATCAGCATAATTCAATATCCAATAATGTTAATTCTGCTATTTATATATAAGTTCATCTTTACATATAAAAAATGAAGCTTGTGATCTGTCTGAATGGAGTAAAAGCATATGGAAAAATAAATGTGAAAAGGTTGAAGAAATTACAGAATCAGCCAAAATGGTACAAGTCTTTTATCCCAGCACTCAGAAGACAGGCAAGTGGATCTCTGTGCCTTCAAGTTCAGCCTGGTCTACATACCAAGTTCCAGGCTAGTCAGTGATCTTGTCTCAAAAAAAATTAAAAGATGAATCTTTTTATTAAATTATAATTGGTTTGGCTTTGAGTTGTATTTGCCTAAGTCTTCATTCATTTCTTCTAATATATATATATATTGCTTTTATTGTTTTCTGAATATTAGTAGAGCTTGCTGTAGGTTCTTTTTCTAATAGATATTTGTTCTCTTTTCTTTTAAAGATTTTATATTTATTTGTGTGTGTGTGCGCGCGCACATGAATGCAATGGCCACAGAGATCAGAAGACAGCATCAGATCCTCTTGCCCTGTTCCCCCCTATTCCTATTATGAATGCTTCCATGAGCATTCGTGCACAGATTATATACATATACATGTGTATGTATATATATATACATACACATGTATATATATGTTTATTTCTCAGGTAGATATCTAAGAATAAAACTGCTTAGGTCAAATAGGATCTCTATTCTAACCTTTTGAGGAACTGCGTGTTACGGTTCTAATTTCTCCATATCCCCGTAGTGTGTGTTTGTATCTGCTTTTTTTATTGCCAGCCACCATAGCAGGTGTGCAGTGGTATCTTTTCATTTTCTTGTTGACCAAGAAGAATGGACATAAACATGTTGCTACTTGCTTACTGGCCATCTCTGCATTTTTAGAGAAATGCCTGTTCAAATGCTTTCATCAAATCCTTTCGCCATAGGAGTCCCTAATGTATTTTATTAACCTGATTTTTGCTTAAATTCCTAACCATTACACAGATGTTAACCCCAGCTCCATAGCTAGGAATAGGTTGTTACTAGTTCATGGTGACACCTGGAAAACTGGGAGTCTTCCTTCTGGTGACAAGTGTGCTCCTCGGTGCCCAGAAGACCTGGGTGGCCACAGTGGCCACTTTGTGCTATCGGACCCCATCCCACCCCACCCCACCTGGCACTAACAGCCTGCCTGGAGGGTTCCCATCCTGGTCACTGCAGCCTTGTGGGGTGGGGCTTATTCTTAGCACCCTTGTTTTATAAAGAGGAGAAATCTAAGGTTCATGTGTTAATGACTTAAAGGTTCGGTAGCCACGCAAATAATTAGACATTGCCACAAACTTGCAGTAAGGAAGTAGATTTGGCTCAAACACGTGCTTCTGATTAAAGTCCCAGTTTTCTCCAGGGTGCCCCCTCACACCAGGGCCCAAGAAGACAGACAGTAGCTTAAGACCAGAAGAAGAAATGGGAAGTGACATGGGCTACACCCCGGTGGCTCTTCTCCCAACAGTTTGCCCAGTATGCTGAGATTGTCAACTTTACCCTCCCGGATGGGACTCAGAGGAGTGGCCAAGTGCTTGAAGTGGCTGGGACCAAAGCCATTGTTCAGGTAAGCATGCAATGGGGAGAGCAAACTCCCATTCTACAAGCCTGGGAGGGAAGAATGGCTACTCTGCTCAGAGATGCGTGCTGAGGGCCTGCAGTGGGAGGCCCTGTTCTCTCCACTACCCTCTCAGAATAACAAGCCATCACTCACAGGTGTTTGAAGGGACTTCAGGGATCGATTCCCAGAAGACCACCTGTGAATTCACAGGGGACATCCTGAGGACTCCTGTGTCGGAGGACATGCTGGGTGAGAGAGGAGTGGCAGGGTGGGTGCTCTTCTTTCCCTCCTGGCTTTTCTAACCAAGCCCTTCACTGCTTGTACATGTGTTTCCTAAGTGCCCTCTGAAGCCAGAGGTTACATTGTCTCTCTCCCGCTCCCATTCCTAGGGCAGGACCCAACATACAGAACACACTCAATAATGAAGGAGTGAGGCTAAGTCATTACAGGTGCAGCTGGAAGCCACCTACTGGGGGGCCAGGCTGAAAGGGTTGACCAAGCCCTCCCTTACCTGGCCTGATCCTGATTACTGATCAACCTGGGCTCAGGCCAGTGGTCAGGGTGACTCCAAATTGCCTTGCCTATGAAAATTCCAAGCAGAGGAAGGAAGACACCCTGCCCTTTGCAAGGACAGTCATGGAAGTTGGCCATGTGTGATAGCTGGGGGCTAAGGAGACTGGATGATGGGACTCCGGAGGAGAATGAGCAGCTGGTAGCTGTGCAGAGACTGGGAACCCTGACACCTTCCTGAACCCCTTTTCCCTCCCAGGTCGGATTTTCAATGGTTCTGGCAAACCCATTGACAAAGGGCCTGTCGTCATGGCAGAGGACTTTCTGGACATCAATGGTGAGAGAGTGGAGGCTCTGCACGGCTTGGAGGACACAGCCCTGGCACTTGCCCATCCAAGCCGTCATCTCTGGACCCAGCCTTGGACGTCCTGCACACACCTAGGCCAAGCATCGTTAGCCCCACGGCTGGCCGGATGAACAGGCAGACAGCAAAGGCCTCTGTGCCCAGACCCACCACAGAACCCCAAACTGCCCCTAGCACCCCATTCTGTCATTGCACAGCACCGCCAGCCACCCCTGTGGCCTTCAGTTCCCTGTGCTCTGTCCTGGGAGCTGGAGAGGGGGACGCTTACAGTCCCAGGATCCCAGCTGCTCCTCAGGAAACCTTCCTGACTCCCCAACCCATCCGTTTTCCAAGGCAGTAATAGAGGCCTATGAAGCTCCCTCATTTGACCAGGGCCACACAGCAGGCTCGTGGCAAAGCACACATCTGTTCACACATAGTCTTTGAGCCTCCCTCTGGTCCTCTGATCATCACTCTGGTGCCTAGGTGCTGCAGGGAGCTAAGGTGCTAGGGCAGTGCTATCTAAGATAGTATGGAGCCATGGCTTTTTAAACTTGAAGCAATTCAAATGAAAGGAAATTCCATTGCTAAATTGCATCTCATATGCACAAGAGCCATGGTGCCTGGGTGATGCTGTGCTGTACATGCAGGTTTTTCCGTGTTGCAGAAGGGGCTGTTGAACAGCTGGTTGGCAGAAAGACGGTGGTTGGTGGTGCATGGGAGGGCTGGAGCCTGAACCTGGCTCCATGATCACCCTCCCAGGCCAGCCTATAAATCCCCATGACCGGATCTACCCTGAGGAGATGATCCAGACAGGAATCTCCCCCATTGATGTCATGAACAGCATTGCCCGTGGCCAGAAGATCCCCATCTTCTCTGCAGCGGGGCTCCCCCACAATGAGGTAAGGGGGGCATAAGCAAGGATCAGGAACAAGCAGAGGCTTCCAGGCTACCCCAGAGCACTTCTGTGCTGAGCAAAGAGTAGCATCCACCCTGGCTGCTGTTTCCTGTCAGCTAAGGGTCAGAGTTGCATAAGAGACCCCCCCACACACACACACAATACACACAGGCACACATTGCCTCTGGAAAAGGCTGCATGCTGTCCCCAGTGAATGGAGTGCTCACTGGCTTTAGAGAGCCCGAGTGGACTCCAGCGCAGAAGTCCTGCTCAGCTGAGCCGCAGCCTGTCTTAGGCTGTACTCATACTAGTGTTTGCCTGACTGCCACCACCAGACAAGAACCATGTGGTTCTCTCAGAGCCACTGGTGCGACAAGACTTCGAGATACCCCTTCCTCACCATTCCTGACTGTGTCAACCCTCTCTCGAGTCTCCCTCCCCGACACATTTTGGGACAGAGGCTCTCACAGCCACACACATTTTAGCCTCACACGGCTCCAGCAGGCTGTGGGAGGTGCAGGCTCTGAGAGGCCCAGCTATACTAAGTTAAACTGCTCGAGTCCACACGGAGACTATTGCTCTCTGGGTCCGTTGCCCTGCTCCTTGGGACAGGTGCCTTCAATCCAGACTGTCTCCAACCCTGAGAAAGACCGCCAGACCCAGGGAAGTTGCCGCTCTTCTGGGCTTGGATTCTCCCCCGCCAAAGTTCCTAACCGTCCATTCTCTTAAGTGATGCCCGTCAGGCCAGATGTCACAGGGCTCTGGCTCTGACCGACTCCTTCCTGGTCCATCCTGTCTCAGATTGCTGCTCAGATCTGTCGCCAAGCCGGACTGGTGAAGAAATCCAAGGCAGTGCTGGATTACCACGAGGACAACTTTGCCATTGTCTTTGCAGCCATGGGGGTAGGTGGAGCTGGAGGCACGTCCTGGAAACCGTGAGAAACAGCCTTGCCTTCCTGGGCTCTAGCACAGCCTATTCTGACGGGGAACACTGAGTCATGCACCCTGAGAGGCCCCTGAAGATTATCCCACTCTGGAGATAGAGACCACAGCAGGACTAAAGTGGGTAGGGATGGACTCAGTGACCAGGGCAGAGTGATCCTGGAGGCATCCCAAGGCCACAGCAGTTATAAGATGAACCATACTTGGCCTGGGGTAGAAGCCCAGGGAACCTACAGAAACAAGATGTCTTCTGAAAGGGGATACCAAGGGCCCTCAGAGGGTTCAACTGGAGACTGAGGAGCTGGGTATGGAAGTAGCTGGCCAAGGGAGGGACAAGAAGAAGCTGGAGGTTAAAAGGGCTGAGGTTTGTAGGGGACCTGATGAGTCCTTCTTGGGCCCTATGGCCACCTCAATGACGATTTACCTGTACACCTAATGACTGTTAAGTTGGTCAGTCCCAAGCTTTGCTGAGAAAAGTCGGTCATGGCTAAGCCCCGCCCTTGGCCACAAGGCCTGCCTATGGCTCCCCTGGCTACCTGTCTAGGTAAACATGGAGACAGCCAGGTTCTTCAAGTCAGATTTCGAGCAGAATGGAACCATGGGAAACGTCTGCCTCTTCCTGAACTTGGCCAATGACCCTACGTGAGTCCTTCCTATGCTCAGACTGCCCTGAGGCCTTCTGCTTTCCCAGACTTGGATCACTGGGGTTCAGGATTTCAGAACTGCAGTCCTAGGCCAGAGCTGTGAGGATAACCCTTGATTGTACAGACAGGGAAAGTGAGGCCTGGGCAGGGTACGGAGCCAGACCAGGACCCCACCTGCCCCTCTGCTCCTCACACCTGTGCTGCAGCAGCTGCCCCAGCCAGGAAACCTCTCAGCCCTGTGTCATCTCAAGGTCATCATGGGAGACTGTTGTTTGTGGCATTTATTTAGAAAAGGCCCTGTTTTGAAAGCTTTGAAGATGAAGTTTAAATCTGGGGTTTGCATGGATGAAATTAAAAATCGAATAACCTATCACCAGTATTAAGGGTACCCCCAAACTAAACAACAGAATTCTGGAGGCTGAGAGGGCATTGCTAAGGGAAGGTCCGTAGGCCCAGACTCCGGAGCTGAAACCCAGGAGAGCTTCAAGCAGGAAAGGACAGTTTTGACTCACCTTGGACACTGGACAGAGAGCATCGGTGTTGCCAGGAAGTGTCCACTCTTGAGAACCATTGTCTTGACCAGGAGTCCCGGGATGGGCTCATCTCACCTGTTCCCCTGCCCCCATTCCCCCAGCTGACCTTACACTCCATTCTGGGGCTTCATGGGGCCCAGGCCTGGGTCGCCAGGCTCCCTGAGCCCTGTCCTGCTTGCATCCAGGATTGAACGGATCATCACCCCTCGTCTGGCACTGACCACAGCTGAGTTCCTTGCTTACCAGTGTGAGAAGCACGTGCTGGTCATACTGACTGACATGAGCTCCTATGCAGAGGCTTTGCGGGAGGTACGCTGGCTTCCGGTGTCAGATTCAAACCACCCCTCCCTGTTTCTCCCTTGGTCTCACAGACACCCCGATAAAATAAATTCACTCTCTCCGGGGGGGGGGGGGTCAGGGCTCAGTCGCAGCCTGTGCGGGTACTAATCTCTTCTGTTTCCTCAGTCCAACCTCCTAATCTCCCTTCCTGAGTCCAGCCTTTCACCTTCTGAAATCCGTGCTGTTGTGGGTATTGCAGGTCTCTGCTGCCAGAGAGGAAGTGCCAGGTCGCCGTGGCTTCCCTGGATATATGTACACAGACCTAGCCACCATCTACGAGCGAGCTGGCCGTGTGGAGGGTCGGGGTGGCTCCATCACGCAGATTCCCATTCTCACCATGCCCAATGACGGTAGCTCCAGCACCTCCTGCCCTCCAGAACCCACCGTCCATTTCCACCAGCCACCCCATCACTCCCATGCTGAGAACAGAACTCACGTGTCCCCAGGCAGATGAGAGCCCAGCTTCCGTACACTGAGGACAGGGTATTTGCTTCCAGATATCACCCACCCCATCCCAGACTTGACTGGCTTCATCACAGAAGGACAGATTTATGTGGACAGACAGCTACACAACCGGCAGGTACTGTTCCTCCTAATAGCTACCTCCTTTCTCTTCATATTTGCCCCTTTGCCACCAAGACATCAAAAAAGGGTCATATATCATTCCTGAGCAAGAAGGAGGAGAAGCCTGTCCAAAATTACACTATCAAGAGCTAGACACTGGGGGGCCTGTGCTTCATGGCTAGCCTATGGCTATATGACCTTCAGAAAATGTTCTAATCTCTGGGTCCCTGTTTAAGTATCACACCCATGCACTGGGGTGTGGGTACATTAGCATATATGAAGCATATAGAAAGCATACTGGGGTACGTTAGCATATATGAAGCCTATAGAAAGCATATTGGGGGTAAATTAGCATATATGAAGCCTATAGAAAGCATATTGGGGTAAATTAGCATATATGAAGCATATAGAAAGCATACTGGGGTATATTAGCATATATGAAGCCTATAGAAAGCAAAGTGGGGTACATTAGCATATATGAAGCATTCGGAAAGCACTAAATATAAAGCATTTCTCTCCCAAGGTTATTGGCTTTGGTGACACTAAATAGGGTTGACAGGGCTGGGCTGTAGCTCATTTGGTTAAGGGACTGCCCAGCATGTAGGAAGCCCTGGGTTCCATCCCCAGCACTGCATAATCCAGGCAATGTAGCTTGCAATCCTAGTGCTAGGTAGGTGGAAGTGGGAAGATCAGAAGTTCAAGGTCATCCTTAGTTACAAAGCAAGTCTGAGTCCAGATAGCCTGGGCTACAAGACACCCTGTCTCAAAACATGCACACACGCATTCACACACACACACACACACACACACACATCTTCAACTTGCTTGTAAAATAATTAAATGTTTTGAAATGTGGGTGTTCCATTAACTAATTTCATCTCGCTGCCCCTAGCTCCAGCTCCCTTCCTGCATGGACTCACCTATGTAGAAAACCCCCCTCTCTTCCACCTGATAACCAAGACCTAGAATCTATGGGGATTAAAGTAGGCGGAATGTAGCTCCCCTCTTTCCCTAGGATGAACAGGAGTCTTCTGAGAAGGGCGCGCAGGAGCAGGTGAAGGAAGGGAGAGCCTGGGTCCTGCCACCAGCTCCTCTCTTCCGCTCCCCAGGTCTATCCCCCCATCAACGTGCTACCGTCCCTGTCACGGCTGATGAAGTCGGCCATAGGCGAGGGCATGACCAGAAAGGACCACGGAGATGTCTCCAACCAGCTGGTAAGGAGAGGAGCGGTGGATGCAGCAACCTCGATTTAGAAGCTGGGGTTGGGAGTCCCACCTAAACAAGAAGTTCCCGTATGGGCAAAGCTCATCCCCAGCAATGGGAGCTCAGCCTGCAAGGGTGGTGAGCCCACGCTGACCTTCCATAGTATGCCTGCTACGCCATCGGGAAGGACGTGCAGGCCATGAAAGCGGTGGTGGGGGAGGAGGCACTCACTTCGGAAGACCTGCTCTACCTGGAGTTTCTGCAGAAGTTCGAGAAGAACTTCATCACCCAAGGTGGGGCGCGGCAGGGGGCGGGACCGGGACGGCCTGGCCCTCCCCTTCTGGATGCGAGGCCTTCACGCTCACGCTTGGTCCTCAGGTCCGTACGAGAACCGCACCGTGTTTGAGTCGCTGGACCTGGGCTGGAAACTGCTGCGCATCTTCCCCAAAGAGATGCTGAAGCGCATCCCGCAGAGCATGACGGACGAGTTCTACTCCCGCCAGGGGGCGCAGCAGGACCCCGCGTCCGACACGGCCCTCTAGAGCAGCTCCAGGCAGCAGCCTCTGGCTTATGGTCAAGCCCATGTCTTATGCCCTATGTTGACAGGAGTGTCTTTTGGTGAGGGTGGGGCTCTTTTTAGGGGCATGCTGAGAATGAAAGTGGGTGGGGGAGCGGGGGGCGGGAGGCGGGAAGGGTCCAGTCTATTAAACCGCACTCTACTGAACGTCACTTCAGTCTTTACTTTTATTTTAGAAGCCCCGCCTCCAAAGATATAACTGAAATGGAAAACAAAAACAGTAACTGAGATGAAATTTATCTCCGGTGAAAAAAAGATTGAGAAAACTTTGCTAAGTGTTGTAGGTGAAATGATACCATGTGGTTTGTAAAAGTCTTTAAAAAGAAAAATCCAACTAGACGTAGTGGAGCGCCCTTTTAATCCCCAGCAGTTGGGAGGCAGAGGCAGGTAGATTTCTGTGAGTTTGAAGCTAGGTCTACATACAAAAAAAGAAAGAAGGAGAGAGAGAGAGAGAGAGAGAGAGAGAGAGAGAGAGAGAGAGAGAGAGAGAGAGAGAGAGAGAGAGAGAGAGAGAGAGAGAGAGNAGAGAGAGAGAGAGAGAGAGAGAGAGAGAGAGAGAGAGAGAGAGAGAGAGAGAGACAGAGAGAGAGAGAGACAGAGAGAGACAGAGAGAGAGAGAGACAGAGAGAGACAGAGAGAGACAGAGAGAGAGAGAGAAGAATGAATAAAAGAGGAAGGGAAGGGAATGAAGGAAAGGAAGGAGGGAGGGAAAGAAAAGAAAAAAGAAAAAGAAAGAAAGAAAGAAAGAAAAACTCAGCTGAATCAGTGCCCTAGCAGCTGACAGCAGAGTTCCTCTTAGGGGAGCATCTACAGTTCAAATGAGAGCTGAGATGATGTGGCTGAGTGGTAAAGTTGCACACCCTTCAGAAGCCCTGGGTCCTGACCCCTGCACCACATAAACCAGGAGAGATGGCATGGACCTGTAATCCTAATATTTGGAAAGTGGAGGCAGGAGGATCAGAAATTCAAGGTTTTCCTTTACTACATAGCAAGTTGAAGCCAGCCTGGGCTACATGACACCCTATTTCAAAAAATAAAATAAAATAAAATAAAATAAAATAAAATACAAACTGGCTGCAGCTATAGCCTACTAGTAAAGCACTCAGTACTGCACACACAGCCTAGAAGGCTCCTAGCCCTGCAGAATATACAGAAGATGGCTCAGCTAGGAAAAACAGCACTTGCCACCAAGCCCAATTGCCTGACTCTGAGTTTAGTCCCCAGAACTGGCATGATGGAAGAATACCAGCTCCCAAGCTATCTTCTGACTTTCATGTGTGTGAAAACACACACACACATAAATAAATAAATAAATAAATAAATAAATAAATAAATAAATGTTAACAGAGGAGGGAAGTGAGCTGTGTATTTTTAATCTTACCAATAGGAAGCAGAGGCAGGTAGATCTCTGAGTTCCAGACCAGACTGGTCTATATAGTGAGTTCCAAGACAACTTGGGCTATATAGTGAGACCCTATCTCAAACAAAGAGAGTTCAGGAGGGAGGGAGGGAAGGAAGAAAGGAGGGAAGGAAGGAGGGATGGGGGGAAAGGAAGGGAGAGAGAGAGGAAGAGAGGAGGAGAAGGAGGAGGAGGAGGTGGAGAAATCTCAGCTATCCTGGCTGCCTGCTCTTCTTCAATGCCATCCCCTCCAGAACTGCAGTTACAGCCACACTGTGAGCTCCGGGAGTCCCCAGCAGGAACATCCAGTGCCTTTAACTGCTGGGCCATCTCTCAAGCTCCTCAGTTTGCTAATCCTTTCCTGTACACTTTCCCATCTGCCACTGGGCCCTTGCTCTATTTTTCAGTGTGATTTCCAGTTTCAGAATGTTCACTTTGTTCTCTTTAAATAACAACTCTGCATCAGTGCACTGTGCCTAACAAGATGTCCCAGCCTTCATTCCATAGTTTTCTTTAGCTCTGTGAACACGCTTTTAAGTGCTACTGAGAAGTTTTATTAAGTTTTATTAAGTCTGGCATCTGGGCCCCTTCTCAAGCAGTTTGTGCATTGCCCAATTTTATTTTTATTTACTGCTTTTGGGTTTTGGTTTTCCATTTCTTTGTTCATCTCACACTTTTTCTTCTGAAAACTGCTATTTCCAGTCATGTATGTTAGCAGCTCTGATCTGCCCATCCCTCTCTCTGTGACTTGGTTTTGTTGCTTGTGTGTTGGTGCCCAGGATGGATGGTTTTAGTAACATCTTTCCCCTCTCAAAGCCTTGGGTGTAACTACTTCTGGAAACAGCCCTGCAACACGGCAACTCTGGGGCTGTGATGGTTTAGGTAGGGTCCTTGCTGGCTGTCTGGTCTCTCTGTTTAACTTTCTGTCTTTGCTGATCTGACACCCAACTTTTAGCTCCCACTAATCTCCAGTCTCTTGTTCTATTTCCCATGATGCCTCTGGGAGTAAACTGCAGAGATCATTCTTGTCAAAGGCCTGATTGACTTGTGTTTTGACCTAGGGAGGCTCCTCAGTCTCTCCTGGGGTTCCTCTGGTAAACCAGTTGGCCTACTAGCATTTTTTTGAAAAAATTGTTTACCATCCAAATCTCCAGGATTTGAACTTCTCCACAGTTTTCTTTGCTAGGGATCTTTAGAACTCTCAATCCCCACAGATTGACTGGTTATAACCCCCAAGTCCCTTTGTGGGTGAGCGGACCACTTTTCTCAGTAATATCATGGGTTTTTTGCGGGGTTTTGGGTTTTTTGGGGGGGTTGTTTTTTTTTTTTTTAGATTTTGAGCAATAAAAACTCAAAAGAGTCCCCGCCTACCCTTTGAGAAAAAATAGCTGCCCTGTTCCTGAGGGCTTGATAGAGAAGGAGTCCCTGCCTTTCTCTTAGCTCCCCAGTCTGTGGTGTGGAGAGCTGGCATCTTGCTCTTCACAGTGAACATGTCCTACATCTTCAGAGACAAGGAGGGAGGAAGTCCCATTTTCTCAACCACGACCCCCCACTTTGGAGCTTCTGCAGTTCTCTGAAATAGGGGTGGGATCTAGGAATGGCCATGGCTCCGATGCCCTGAGCCCTCCTGTTCTTAATAAAAATTTGACTTTTGTGACTATTTCCTCATTTTATACACCTTAGGGCAAGCCTTTTTGTTTCGTTGTTGTTTTTTGTTTTGTTTGTTTATTTTTCAAGACAGAGTTTCTCTGTGTAACAGCCCTAGCTGTCCTAGAACTAGCTCTTGTAGACCAGGCTGGCCTCAAACTCACAGAGATCCTCCTACCTCTGCCTCTGCCTCCCTTAAAGGCCTGTGCCACCACCATTACCTGATGCAAGGCTCTTTTTTAAGTTTCAATTTTGAGAGAGTTTCACTATGTAGCCCCGGCTAGCTGGGAACTCACTGTGTAGACCAGGCTGACCTTGAACTTGTGGCACTCTTCCTGCCTCTGCCTCTGGAATGTTGGGGCTGTAGGTGTGCATGGCCACGCCTGGCTCACCTGCTATTCCATAAAATAATTCCCATGTATCCTGGTTGTTTCTGAGGATTGTGTGTCTGCAGAGCTCCTGGGCTTCCTGCAGAAATGGAGGCCCCATTCAGAGATTTGAAACATGTTGACCTGACATGTCAAGCACCTAGAACATGCCAGAATCAGTCTCTCTCTGTCATTGTCTCTGTATCTGTCTCTGTAACTCAATATGTCTCTCTGTCTCTCTCTTTCTCTCTTTCTTTCTCGTGTGTGTGTGTGTGTGTGTGTGTGTATGTATGCGGGCGTGTGTGTGCGTGTGTGCATGTGTGTGCATTCCTGCACACTCCAGGAATCTTCCTGTCTCCACTTCCTCAGTGTTGGAGTTGCAAGCATGTTATCACTCCTGACTTTCCATGGGCTCAGGGAATCTGAAATCAGGCCCTCACATTTGTGTTGTAAGCACTTTGCCGACTGAGCCATCTCCCCAGTATTCCCTTCTGGATGCCTCTCGGGATCACCTTGAACTGTCATGGTCCTTACGCAGTAGATAATGAAGTCCACTCCTGGATCTGCCAGTCGCAAGGAGACCAGCCGTCTGGAAACCCCAGTGGAAGGCACTAAATACCTGCCTACTGTCCAAGGCCTCTTCAAGCCTCAGGAACTGCTCTGAGGTGCATGTGAAGCACCTTTTCAGGATGGGCATGGTCACAGAGTGCTCAGGAAAGCAGATGGGGAGAGGCCAGCACCCCAGACACTTGTCTTCCTCTACTCTGGTCCTATAGGCAAACATTTCCTGCCCTACCTGCTAGGACTTGACATTCAAATTCCGTTTCTCTCCCAAATACAGATGATGCTCAACCCACAAAGCCACCATTAGCCCTCCTGGCACCTAGGATACTGACCTGAAAGCCCTATTTCCTGCCTATTACCAGCATAGCCAGGCCCTAAAGCCCAAGAGAGCACACTGACTGATGGAAGCCAACTCAGCCCCTGCCTCTGTCCTGCTTTCAGCAGCACATGCCCCTTCTAGAAGCACAGGCTAAGCCGCAGAGCAAGAGTGGGGGTGAGCGCTCAGCCCTGCCCCATGCACGTGTGCTGCTACTCAGACAAGCCAGGCCTGGCGAGCCAGGCACAGCTCCTAACTCTCATTTGTTTGTGGCTGCCCAACAGTGCAGAGATGACTCTCAACGTCCCTTGTGTGTCACAGTGCCCCAGCCCACACAGCTCATTCCAGTGTCCATCATACCAGTCCTAATCATTGTACCCCATGGAGGGAACTTTTTACTAGTTAGACTTTCCTGAAAGTGATAGAACCCCAGTTCAAAGTAGCTTAGACTTCAGAAGGAACACGAAGGGATTTTATGACAAAATCCTAAATGGTGTGAGACAGCAAGCCTTGCATGCTGGAGACAGTACCTCTCTGGGTCCTGTGCCTTCTCCAAGCACTGTCCGCTCACCCAGTCTTCTATCTCCCTTGCCAATTAATTACTCTGGAGACACGCCATTACCCTGCTCTCCAGGTGGAATTCTGGTACTTCTTGTGGTCAACTGTCTATTGCTTTACCAGGCCCTCTGCCCAGCTGCCTGGATCTGGCTAAAGGGTCCTC